AGGAGGAGAAGAGAAGAAGAAGAAGAAGAAGAAGAAGAAGAAGAAGAAGAAGAAGAAGAAGAAGAAGAAGAAGAAGAAGAAGAAGAAGAAGAAGATCCCTCACAAACATGCCCAGCTGCTTGGAGTTTTGTTGATTCCAGATGTAGTCAAGTTGACAACCAAAGTTAGGCATCACAGAGGACCAGCCTGGGCTACATAGAGAGACCCTGCTTCAAAAGACAAAAATGGGCCTGGAGAGATGGCTCAGTGTGGTGGTTGGGAGTGGCACTATTAGGAGATGTGGCCTTGTTGGAGGAAGCGTGCCCCTGCAGGGGTGGGCTTTGAAGTCTTTTCTCATCCAGCTTTCCTCAGTGTGACCATCAGTCAACTTCCTGTTGCCCACAAGATGTAGGACTCCGAGCTCCAGCACCACATGCCACTGCCTGCACGCCACCACGCTCCTGGTCATGATAATGGACTGAACATAGTGAGCTGTCCCAATTAAATGTTTCTTTGTAAAAGTTGCTGTGGTCATGGTTTCTCTTCACAACAATAAAAACCCTAACTAAGACACTCAGCACTTTAGAGCACTTTCTGTTCTTACAGCAGAATTCCGTTCCCAGAATGCATATGGCAGCTCACTAACAGCTGTAAGCACAGTTCCAGAGGATATGACATCCTCTTCTCGCTCTGAGGGTAGCACATGATACATGCATGCATGCATGTGGATGAAAGACAAAAAAAGGAAAAAGAAAAGCTGGACATTCTGAGTGATTTGGGGAGAGGTGGCTATAATTCCTGCAGGACTCTCAAGATTCAGCCTCATCCTGGCTGACCACATTGGCTACATCTGTCTCTTCCAGGTTATCATGAAGAAGCTACGAGCGTCTGTAAGGAGTCACAGGAAGCCACTAGCCAACCACGAGAGAAGGAGAAAATGTGCCCTCAGCAGTAGCCAGGCCACGCCCTCTGCCTCTGATGGTAAGGAACTGGCCCTTGCCAGAGTGTCAAGGGACTGGTTTCGATGGCCATACAAAGAGGGCAGATTCAGGCTTGCAGTGTACCAAGGAATTAAGCTAATTCTGACTGTGTTGCTGTATAACTTTGAGCCAAGTGTTCTGGGTGTTTTCTTTATTTTTTTTTTAAATTTATTTATTATTTTTACTTGTTTATATGTATACAGTGTTCTGCCTGCATGTATCCCTGCAGGCCAGAAGAGGGCATCATTACAGATGGTTGTGAGCCACCATGTGGTTGCTGGGAATTGAACTCAGGACCTCTGGAAGAACAGTCAGTGCTCTTAACCTCTGAGCCATTTCTCCAGCCCATAAGTTTTCTTTTTCTTTTCTTTTCTTTCTTTCTTTTTTTTTTTCTTTTTGGTTTTTTCGAGACAGGGTTTCTCTGTGTAGCTTTGTGCCTTTCCTGGAACTCACTTGGTAGCCCAGGCTGGCCTTGAACTCACAGAAATCCGCCTGGCTCTACCTCCTGAGTGCTGGGATTAAAGGCGTGTGCCACCACCGCCCAGCGGGTATTTTCTTAACAGTAGAATGGAACAATTTCATTTCTATGCATTTCTTCACTGTTGTGTGGCTTTCATGAGATCAACTGAGTATATAAGCCTGAATGTGTTTTGAAAATAGGAAAGCACCCTGCATGGGTACCTATTCCTGCCTAACTAAAACTATTGAGTTTTCATTTGTGGCCCAGAGAGAACAAAGACACTCTGACAAAACTAAGACCAGAAATTTGGCCACGGCTGCACATAACTAGAACTCTGATGTGGTTGTAGCTCTGAAGGTTGAGTGAGATTTGGTTAGAGAAGCCCTAAGTGGGAACAGGCTACTAATGCAGGTTGCTATGCCCTGGGTCCCTGATGAACCTGTGCCAAAATGATCCCCAAAAGGGCCAGCAGGATGATTCAGTGGGAAAACGCTTTTGCTACACAAATGCAATGACCTAAGTTTGATCTCCAGGACCCATGGAAAGGCGGTAGGAGAGAACCAACTCTGAGAACACTGTCTTCTGACCTCCATGTGCTCGCGTGGCATGCATGCCCACACATTCACATCATGCATGCACGATAAAAATGAAATAAATATTAAATACTGAAGAGCCAGGGGTGGTGGTCACCCTTGTAATCCCAGCACTTGGGAGGTTGGGACAGGAGCATTAGGAGTTCTAAAGCTAGCCTTGGCTACACAGCCAGTTTGAGGCCAGCCTGAACTACGTGAGATCCTGTTGAGGCCCTGCCTCAGAAAACTGAAAAGAGTTGCTGGAGAGACATCTCAGCCTGTCAGGCAGTTTACAACTGCCCAGGACTCCAGCTCTAGGAAGTCACATACCTCAGATACACATGCACCAGCACTTAAAGATAATTCTTGAGAAAGGTTGGGGTGGGGCGAGGGGTCATTCCGAAGTGTCCTGGCTGTCCTGCAGGCCAGGCCAAGCCGAAGAGAGAAGAGTTACTGCAGGCCTCCGTCTCCCCGTACCATCTGTTCAGGGACATGGCCGATGTCACGACTTTCCGAAGGAACTTGCTCAGCTGGTATGACCAAGAGAAGCGGGACCTACCTTGGAGGAGATGGGTAAGTGGGACGGGGACAGTGGGCTGGGAGGCTGGCACTTAATTCTTTCCATATTAAGCTTTCACCTGGGGTTTTATTGACAGGTCAAGGAGGAGGCCAATTTGGACAGGCGGGCCTATGCTGGTCAGTACAGAACTGGGCTGCTTTGCCTGGAAGTCCTGGGGTTAGGGGTTTTGCTCAGGTTTGGGGTTAGGGGCAGGAGCCAGGGTGAGTCGCAGAACCTCATGTTAACCCCCTCCCCCAGTGTGGGTGTCAGAGGTCATGCTGCAGCAGACCCAGGTCGCCACAGTGATCGACTATTACACCCGATGGATGCAGGTGATGCCAGGGAGGGAGGGCAGAGTTGGCTGGACCCTGGAAAAGGCTTCCTCTGCCACCCTCATCCTTAACCTTACTTCTTTTTGCCTGTCTCTGGTCTCCAGAAGTGGCCAACACTTCAGGACCTGGCCAGTGCTTCCCTGGAGGTGAGCCACCCTTGGATGGGGGAATAGAAACAACTGGGGGGACCGACCCCTGACCTTTGACCTCTGACCCCCACCTACAGGAGGTGAACCAGCTTTGGTCTGGCCTGGGCTACTATTCTCGAGGCCGTCGGCTGCAAGAGGGAGCTAGGAAGGTAAATGGGCAATGCACCGAAGAATAGGAGGCCGGCGGCGGCCTCAGGTGTCGTAAAACTGAGCCTTCCTACTTGAATCAGGTGGTGGAGGAGCTGGGAGGTCACATGCCACGGACAGCAGAGACCCTGCAGCAGCTCCTGCCTGGCGTGGGGCAGTACACAGCCGGAGCCATTGCTTCGATGGCCTTTGACCAGGTGAGCCGGTCCGTCACCTTTATCTAATGTGTACACCCCCATTTTCCAAGTCCAGCCTGACTCCCAGGCCCCTCTGCGCCAGGTGACTGGTGTGGTGGATGGGAATGTTTTACGGGTGCTCTGCCGTGTCCGTGCCATTGGTGCCGATCCCAGCAGCACCCTTGTCTCTCATCACCTCTGGTAAGCTACTGGGCTGATGGGAAATTGGGAAGGGTCTGTTCCAAGGGTCCTCGCCTGTAGTCGTGTTCCTTACGTCTAGGAGCCTAGCTCATCGGCTGGTGGATCCAGCCCGGCCGGGGGACTTCAATCAAGCAGCCATGGAGCTGGGGGCCACGGTCTGTACCCCCCAGCACCCTCTCTGCAGCCGGTGCCCTGTGCAGAGCTTGTGCCAGGCATACCAGCGGGTGAGCCTCCAGAGGAAGAGTTAGGGTGTCCTAGTGAATGACCCTTGCCCCATGACCCTTCCTCTGTCTCTCAGGTGGAGCGGGAACAGCGCTCAGCCTTGCCAGGCAGTCCTGACATAGAGGAGTGTGGTAAGCGCCAGCCCTGACCCCAGCCTGCCCCTCCTGGCCCTGTCCGGGAGCTGCCTTTTCAAGCCAGTGAGAATCCGCAGTGGGACTAACCCTCCCCCTGGGCTAGGCACCTAAGGCCACGTGGCCTGAGCAGAGTTCGGGATCTTTGTTTCCAGCTCTCAAGACTAGACAGTGCCAGCTTTGCCTACCTCCCACTAAACCCTGGGACCCCGCTCTGGGAGTGACCAACTTTCCTCGAAAGGCCAGCCGTAAGCCTCCCAGGGAGGAGTACTCTGCCACTTGTATTCTGGAGCACCCCAGAGCCACTGGGAGTCCCCTCATCCTGCTGGTCCAAAGGCCTAACTCAGGTACCTGAATATGGGGATCGGAGGGCAGTGTCCTAGCAACAGAGGGGAATAGAAGGGGCAGTAGAGGAAGCTGAGTCCATACCCGGCTGCTGTCAGGTCTGCTGGCAGGACTGTGGGAGTTCCCATCTGTCACCTCGGAGCCCTCGGAACAGCACCAGCACGAAGCCCTTCTGCAGGAGCTGCAGCGCTGGTCTGGACCCCTCCCAGGCGCTCGTCCCCAGCACCTGGGGGAGGTAGGTTGGCAAGGGTGCCAGGAAAGAGGGCTTTCGTGTTCACATTCACAGACAGACCTGGGCCGTCTCTTCTCCCCCAGGTGATCCACATCTTCTCCCACATCAAACTGACGTATCAGGTGTATAGTCTGGCCCTAGAAGGACAGACCCCAGTGGCCCCCGCACCTCCTGGCGCTCGATGGTTGACTTGGGAGGAATTCCACAGTGCAGCTGTCTCCACCGCCATGAAAAAGGCACTACCTTTGTTATCGCTGTTTGTCTCTTCCATGTTTTACATGAACTTACTGCTGTATAAACGGGAAAGAAATGTGTATTTTAAACAAACCTGCTGGGGCCGACCACAGGCTGGGGTGGAACTCAGGGTATTGGTGCTCTCTGGAGAAGGTGCCAGCCCTGTCTCCTTTCCTCCCGCCTCCATCTTGGCTAGGTGTTCCGTGTCTATGAGGACCATCAGCGAGGGACCCGCAAGGTGAGTCTCAGAGGCTCACCCTGTCATCTTCTCCCAGGCCTGCCTCTGGGGCCAGAGGGACAGTTTGTGAACTAGGGACTGATTGTGAGAACTGTAGGGTAGAGGGACACGAACAGATTAGTGTGGGCACTGGTGGCACAGGTAGGTGAAGTATCGGCTAGGTTTTGTGGGAGTGATCTGTGAGACAAGGATCAGGAAAAGCTGCTTGATGAAAACAACTCCTAATTTGGGTCCTAGAAAAAGGTTTATTTTTATTACTTTTAATTATGTAGATATGTGTGTGTCTATGTGTGGGTATATGTACATTGAATGTAGTACCCATAGAGGCCAGAAGAGGGCATTGGATCCCCTGGAGTTGATGTTATAGGTGCTTGTGAACCATGCAGCATATATATTGGGTCCCCAACTGGGGTCCTCTGCTTAAACAATCTGAACCCTGAGCCGTCTCCCCACCCCTCACCCACACTGTGTAGCTGAAGATGAAGATGTCCTTAAACTTCTGATCCTCCCTCATGATGGGATTATAGGCATGTGCCTGTCCTACCCAGTTCTGTCCAACACTAGGACTCAAACCTAGGGATTTATGCCTGTTAGGCAAGCCCTCTATCAGCTGAGCTATGTCCCCAGCCCCAGCTTAGCATCTTAGCAAGTTTTCTTGGGCATCTTTTAGAGAGTTGACTAAGGGGTTGGCACTTGGAAAATTCTACAGCATTCTAGGCTGGATTAGTAGAGCAGGCAGGCACAAGATTTCCCGATGTGTATCATTACCTCCCATCTTTGGATTTTGCACAGGGTTCTAAAAGGCCCCGGATGTCTACTCCATCAAGCCGGAAAAAACCCAGCCGGGGCCAGCAAGTCCTGGATAGTTTCTTTCAGCCTCGTATTCCCACAGACACACCCAACAGTACAGCCCAGTGATTCCCCCAGGAAGCCCACCCCAAATCCAGTCTTAATAAAATGCTTATTTTTGTAGTCCTTTTGGAGAACATCCCACACTTTCTCTAGCCCCTTCACTTAGTTTTGCAAGACTCAGGAAACGGTAAAGTCAGCTTGGTTCTGACTTCCCCTGGCTGAGCTCCCAGGCAGGCCTGGAGGCTGCAGGCATTCGGACCAGTGCTCTTACCTAGCAGAGTTAGGGCAGCTGCGGGGGCGCCTGTCAGTGGCTGACATGCAATGCTGCCATTCTGGGTCTCAGGTAAGCCCCGACTGGAGCCGGAGCACCATAGAGCAGGTGGCAAGGCTAACCATGACCTAGTCCGGCTGTACCTGCAGCCCTTGCTCCCTAGGGAGGTCAGCACAGACGACGGTTGGTATTAAATTCCTTCCTCAGAATCACTGATCACAAGACCTTAAGGGTGGATGGGAAGGAAATACAGTGAAGACACAAAGGCTCCAGAGTGCTGTCTTATGCCTCAGTCCTTTATTCTTTACATTACCTAGATGTGTTCTTTTAAATCCCATCTCTTTGGAGTCCAGTAAGAGACGCTAGAATTGGCAGGTACTGGTTGAAACAAAGACCCCCCCACCTGGCCGGAACGGATGGCCTCTATTTGGGGTGTGGTCCTGTGGAGGTGTGTCAGTTCCAGCAGGCCTGTGCTGCACCCCTCAGAGCACCTGGGACTCGTGGCAACTCCCAGATCCTGCCGGATTATGCTCCCTGGGCCCTGGCAGCTTCCTCTTGCACGGACTGCCATAGTGCCCGGATGTTGTTCTGGCCAAAGCCTGTGGCCCCCTGTCTCTGAATCAGCTCCAGAAAGAAGGTGTCCTCAGTGAAGAGGGACTTGGTGAAGACCTGAAGCAAGAACGTGTCTTTGTCGCCATCTAGCAGAATTCCCTGCCGTTCTAGAAGGCTAGGCTTGTGCCCTGCAGCTATGATTTGTTCCTCTTTGCCGGGCTGCTGGTAGTAGGCTTCAGGAGGGGTCAGGAGCCGGCCTCCCGCCTTGGCCATCCCCTCAGAAGCTTCCATGATGTTGGGAGTGTACAGTCCTACGTGCTGCAGGCCTGGCCCCCGGTGCCGGGCTAGAAATTGCTCTACCTGGTCTTGTCTGTTGGTGGGTCCCGGCAGGGACTCTGCCAGCACGAGGGTGGGGACGGTGCTGTCAGGTGGGATCTGCAGGGCAGTAAGCCGTAGTCCCCCTCGCCCAGACCCTGCAGCCACCTCGAGGCCCAGCTCCGGATCCTCACCTGGGCTCAGCGGCAAGTGACGAAACCCTAGGCAGTCCTGGAACCAACGCCTAAGTGTAGGGGAGCTGCCAGAGGTGCAGGCCAAGGTCAAGTGGTCCACGTGGCTGACCCAGCGAGGGCCAGGTGTGCAAGGCAGCGGTCTGAATCCGGGCAGGAAGGATCCGCGATAGCCAGCACGCTGCAGCAACGTAAAGCTAAGGTTACCAGCCGGAGAGCTGACCACCGTGTAGGTGGCTGTGCCCTGTGCATCCCTCACGCTGGTGGGTGGTACCGGCACGACGCAGCCCTGTGCGGCCAGCGCCCGGGCGGCACCGCCCACATCCTCCACGTCGAAGCACAGGTTCGTGGCGCTGGGCACCGAGTGATGCGGATCCAGGCCGTACAGTGGCTCCCCCGGGCCCGAGCCCTCGTTCACTAGAAAGACCGCGTCTCCGCTGCGCAGGGCCAGCTGTCTCCAGCCGCCTGCTTCCCGCACCGCCAGGGGCTGGAAGCCGAAGAGGCGGTGGAGGTCCTTCGCTAGCGGCTGCCCGGCAGGCACATGGAAAGCGACATGGCACAGACGGCGGGCGTGCGCAGCCATGGCGAGCCCAATGGCCGGCCACCCGGCCCTGTCCTTCTGGGGCCGCTCACTTGTTTAAAACTCCAAGACTCTCGGTCCCGGACTAGTTGTTGGAAGCCGGTGGCGTCCAGGTCTGCCCGAAGAGCGCGTTCCTTGGTCTTTTCTGGGCCCGGGTCACAGTCAGACCTTGGGGATTGATCCTCTCTGCAGCGCAACCTCAACCCGAAGGCAGCTGAGGACCACAGCCCCTAAGGGTGAATTGTATGAGAACCACGCGGGCGCTGAGCGGCGCGGACCGGAGATCGGGGTGGAGCCTGAGACTCCGCCTTTGACACGCCCTCTCGCCCAGAACCGCTCTCCTTGGGTGCAGCCTGGACGAAGGGCAGTTTCTTCCCAGGGCCTTGGACCAGGTCACACCCTTGGCACTGAGCCACCCCTTCCGGGGCCCGGGAAGTCACAATAGCCACCTTCAGTCGGTGCCAGGCGCACTCTTCTCCCGACCTCAGAGCTAAGTTCTGCCCGGGTGGGGGAGGAGCCCGAAGCGCGGAATTTCTTAGTCCGGTGCTTTTTCTCTTTACGATTCAGGAGTTTGTTCAAGTCCTAGTGCCGCGTTCATGTCTTACTTATTTTCTTAATATTAAAATATTTCCAGTTAAGATTCTCAATCCCCAAAAGAGGGCGGGGAAATTGATAGAAGAGAAAGCATTTACATATCTTTCCAATCATCCGGGCAATCTCAACTTTATCTGCCACTTCAATTCTACTGCTACAGCTAAGCGAGACTTGGAGGGAGACAAAACAAAAGACCCTAAAACGCCATTGTGTTTTGTTTGTTGTTCCTGTAAGGAACTACTGCTTGTCACTTAAAAGGACTCCAACTACAGCCCAGGCCTTACTCTTTAAACTTCCTAAAGATAGGAGCCAGGGTCCCCAAGATGAAGGATGTCACTGGAATGAGGAAACTGGAAGTCTTGTGGGACTTCAGCTGGAAGGTCCTTGAAGTAAAATTAGAGAGGGACATTCAAAGGACAAAAACTTTAGTGAAGATGCAAGCCAAATCAGGAACTGTGCCAAAAAGACATTTGGGAGGGACACCATGGCCCATGGCCCAGCCAGAAACTCCGTTGTCAGACAGTGAGAGACGTAGGGACCAGACTTATACTAGGAGGCTTGGCTGGGTGTTCAGGATCGCAAGTAGGAGAGGAGGGCATGGCCTCTTCGGCTGACCAGTGATCAGGAGAACATGGATTCCAGAGCTAAGCAGACCTGGGTTAGAAATCTATCTCTAACATGCATGACTTTGGTCATGTTGCTTAGTTTCTCTGAGTTTCCTTATCTGCAAAAATGGGACCCCCCCCACCCCTGTGCCCTGGTGTTGGGGGATCAATACCCATGGTCTCACACATACTATTTAATTACACTTCACCTCTAACCCAGATTGCTGTGGTTAAACTAGACAGTGTAAGTGTTCAATCAATGGCAGCTGTAGCTCTTGCTCTAGTCTCATCACACAATGTTAATGGTGCCTCCCGGGGTATGTACTGTGTGACTTGTTTGGGGAGGTGGGGGTGGGCAGGGACTATACTGGCTTGTATCAAAGGTGAGGCAGCCAAATGAAGGAGCAGGAGCAGCTCTGATAATGGCCCAGAACCCAGAACTAGCTGTGACTCCCTTCAGGGAGTCCCGAAGCATTAATTGCTGACTCAGGGCCTTGTGAATGCTAGGCAAATATTTTTTTGTTTGTTTGTTTGTTTTTCAAGACAGGGTTTCTCTGTGTAGTTTTGGTGCCTGTCCTGGATCTCGCTCTGTAGACCAGGCTGGCCTTGAACTCACAGAAATCCGCCTGACTCTGCCTCCCGAGTGCTGGGATCAAAGGCGTGTGCCACCACCGCCCAGCTAGGCAAATATTCTTATCACTGAGTGCATCCCAGCCCCCTGTCCTTTCTTCTCCCACATCCCCTTGGGCCTCAGCTTCCTCCCTCCAAGGTTTCTAAGCCTGAAGCACTGTGGGAAGTGTAAGACTGTCTTAGGGAAAGGTGTGTCCTGGTTGCGGCCCAGCCTTACTTTATTGTTTGCTGTGTGACCTTGATCAATGCTCAGTCTTCCCAGAATACTTCACACTGAGCAGGGTGACGGTTACCGGTCTCATGCTGAAGCCTTACATGACTGCAGATAAATGGAAGACTGGACAGTGGACCACTAGAGGCCTCACTTGTCCTCCCACTAAAAAGGAAGTGTCCCCCAAAGGCATGTGCAGCTGAGGAACTGCATCCTAGCAAGAGGCCTAGGCTTTAAGGCCTGAACCTGGGTCTGATTGTGTAGGGCCTGCACTGAGGTGGCTTTGACCTGGCTGTTAGCCGGGTTAGGTCAGACTAACAAGACAGGAGGGTCACAAAGTGTAGCCTCGATGGCAACACATATTAGGGCCTCTCTTAGAGCACTGAGGAAGTCCCTGGTTTGGGTCGATTCGGAGGCCTGGAAATGTGGCTCTCTGTGAATGCTAAAGCAAAAATAGGCTGCCCTTGAGTTTTTAAAGTCAGGGCTTCATAACCTATACCCTCCTGAGCCTTTGACCCAGCTCCAGAAGTTTGCTTTCAAGGGCCCCAAGAACAAAAAAGTGGGCATAAACAAGACCACTGGCCCTTTATACCCCACTTGCTCAGGAGTGGAACAGCAAGGCCTATGGAAACCAAGTAGTATGGTGTTTTTGGCTGGAGTGTGGTGTCCTGAAATGCATCGTGCTTGACACAGGTAACAGGCTGGGCTTTCAAGGAGGGGCGAAGGTAGAGGTGGCTGCGGGTGTTGGTCCCCTGTGGTGTCCAGAACACTACCACCCACTTAGGGTTCCCGGGAACCTTCACAAATTGTCTTCTCGGCATGAGGACTGCCTGCCCTCCTGCTGGGGTGGGCCAGACTGAAGCGAAACGGAGGACTCCACTGTAAAGAATGCCCGCGGGCAAGGGAGCAAGGTCATGGCACTCCGGAAGCTTCCTGCCACTCCTGCCACTCCCGCCTTGTGTGTCCGCTAGGTCAGGTGAGGTAGGGGTGATCTCAGGCTGGGGAAAGCCGAGATGTCCAAGTTGTAGAACAGCGCCTCTCCTGCAGGTGTCGACTCTACACCTACCGGACAGCAGTAGCTCGCTGGGCTCGCTAGGAAACCCTAGCTCTCCGGGGCTCTAGCTCCACCTACCCGACTCGGGAGGGACCCCCCAGCCTCGGCTGACCCCGCCCCGCCCCGCCCCCGGGGGCACCGAGCAGCTTACTCCTTTAAGGATCAGCCATTCTCAAGCCCTTCCTGGTCCTGCTCAGTGCTCTTTTACCTTTCCCTTCCGCCGGAAGCGGCTCCTAAAGCTCTCTCATTTTTGTATCCGCCTCCATTCTTCTCGCCTGACTACTGAGAGCTGGCTCAGAAAAACCTCACAGAGGCTGGTGAGATGGCGCCACGGTTAAGAGCACGGGCTGCTCTTCCAGAGAACCAAGCTCAAATCCCAGCACCCACAGGGCACCTCACAACTGTCTGTAACTCCAGTGCCAGGGGATCCAACACCCTCACACAGATATACATGCAGGAAAAAAACACCAATGCACATAAAAATAGGTAGATCTTTTGCCAGGCGGTGGTGGCCCACGCCGTTAATCCCAGCACTCCGGAGGCAGAGGCAGAGGAAGGCTGATCTCTGTGAGTTCAAGGCCAACCTGGTCTATAGAGTAAATTCCAGGACAGCCAGAACTGTTTCACAAAGAAACCCTGTCTTGGAAAAAGAGAGAGAAGGTGACCTTAGATTTTTTTTTTCGAGTTGTAGAATATACATATTTACTGACGAATTAAAACGACAATAACAAAATGTACAGGATCTCCTGGCAGCCCAGGCTGGTCTCTTTTTTTTCCCCCCATTTTTATTTATTTTTCTATTATCAGCTTGATACACTACAAATTCTTATCCTAATAGTGAAATGTTTCATTGAGGCTTGCCCAGTGATTGAGTAAAACCAAAACTTATTATAAGCCACAGTTATCCTAGGGTCCCCCCTGCTGTGTAGCCTCCCTGGTTCTATGGGTTGCAGTCTGATTGTTCTTTGCTTTATATCTAGAATCCACTTATGAGTGAGTACATACCATGTTTGTCCTTCTGGGTTTGGGTTACCTTACTCAGGATGATATTTTCTAGTTCCATCCATTTGCCTACAAATTTCATGCTGTCATTGTTTTTCTCTGCTGGGTAGTACTCCATTGTGTATATGTACCACATTTTCTTAATCCATTTTTCAGTTGAAGGGCATCTAGGTTGTTTCCAGGTTCTGGCTATTACAAATAGTGCTGCTATGAACATAGCTGAGCATGTATCTTTATGGTATGAATCGGCATTCCTTGGGTATATGCCCAAGAGTGGTATGGCTGGGTCTTGAGATCGATTCCCAATATTCTGAGAAACCGCCATACTGATTTCCACAGTGGTTGTACAAGCTTACATTCCCACCAACAGTGGAGGAGTGTTCCTTTTGCTCCACATCCTCTCCAACATTGACTGTCATTAGTGTTTTTGATCATAGCCATTCTGACAGGTGTAAGGTGGTATCTCAGAGTCGTTTTGATTTGCATTTCTCTGATGACTAAAGATGTTGAGCATTTCTTTAAATGTCTTTTAGTCATTTGAGATTCTTCTTTTGAGAATTCTCTGTTTAGCTCTTTAGCCCATTTTTTAATTGGATTGTTCAGTATTTTGATGTCTAGTTTCTAGAGTTCTTTATATACTTTGGAGATCAGTCCTCTGTCAGATGTGGGCTTGGTGAAGATCTTTTCCCATTCTGTTGGCTGTCTTTTTGTCTTATTGACCATTTCTTTTGCCCTACAAAATCTTCTCAGTTTCAAGAGGTCACATTTATTAATTGTTGTTCTCAATTGTCTGTGCTACTGGTGTTATATTTAGGAAGTGATCTCCTGTGCCAATGCATTCAAGAGTACTTCCTACTTTCTCTTCTATTAAGTTCAGTGTAACTGGATTTATGTTCAGGTCTTTGATCCACTTGGACTTGAGTTTTGTGCGTGGTAACAGATATGGATCTATTTGTAATCTTTTACATATTGACATCCAGTTATGCCAGCACCATTTGTTGAAGATACTTTCTTTTTTCCATTTTATAGTTTTGGCTTCTTTGTCAAAAATTAGGTGTTCATATGTGTGTGGATTAATGTCAGGGTCTTCAATTCAATTCCATTGGTCCGTATGTTGGTTTTTATGCCAGTACCAAGCTGCTTTTATTACTATATCTAACTCGTTTTGTACCTGAGGTGACTTTAAACTGAAGATCCTCCTGCCTTCAGAGTGCTGGGATTATAGGTGTGCACCTCGCCTGGTTTATGAAATGCTGGGGATGGAACCTAGGACCTGATGCGTGCCAGGCAAGCATGCTACCAACTGCATGACACCCCCAGCTCCCACCTTAACTTTTAAAGTGTATAGCTATGTGGTAGTAAGTGCATTCAAGCCAGGGGAGAGGCTGCAGGACCCGCCCCTAAGTGGAAGGAGTTAGTCAGAAGGCAGGAGGGAGGGAGGGAAGGGAAGAAGACGGCAGGGAAGTGTTGGAGGCTGTAGGTGAGGAGGGGAGAACTCCAAGGTAAAGGGCATCCTAGCATACTAGAGGCCCTGGGTTATTGC